TTTCGTACATATACATATATTTTGCATCCTACATACATTGTAACATATCACTAAAAAAATTTGTTAACTTGACTAAATCTGTTTAAATTAGGTAAATCTTTTTACTAAAATTATTATGTTAATTGAACATCTATTACTATTTAAGAGTCAAATTTTGTTGGATTTAATATGTTATATTTCATTTAAATATTTTTATAATTAGCAAAATAATATTTAATTGAGAGGTTTAGTCAAGTTACACATTTTTTTTAGTGTACAAAAACTGCGAATGCATTATTTTCACTGCAATAAGATGCACATTTTTGATACGTTCGTTTTCAACGATTAATTTCTTAAATATTCCAAAGAAGACTTTAAAATAAATATTTTTTGTTAATATTAATTTTCTCTACGTTTAATTTTAATGCTATTTGACATAAGAAATAAATAATGTGATTTTTTAGTTTTTCACCCTTTTTTTTATTGAAGTTAATGGAGTAATTTTTAACATTTTAAATATTATCATTGATGTTAGAAAATTGTTGAATTGTCATGCATAAAAAGAATTGTTTTATGACAATTCAACAATTTTCTAACATCAATTATAATATTTACGAGTTATTGAAATATATTATTTTATTTAGAGACTAGTGGAATTATATATGGCATTGGAAAAATTTTATGAGTTTTTCTAATTAATATTTACCACAATAAAAAATATTAATATGTACACAGTAAAATTAATCGAACATATTTTATATCTTATTGTAAATATTAATTAGAAAAACTCTTATAAAATTCTTCCATGATTTCCAGGGTAAATTCTAAGAATAAATTGTCTCTATGTCTTAAAATGAGCTAATTGTAAAGATATTTTTATGTAACGCATTTGGTCCAAAAATTCCAATATATATATATTAATATTTTCCATACATATCGCGCTTAACATCTGCTTCAAAACGACGTGTTCTTTTAACGAAGAAATCTGAGGATAATTAAAAGGACGCGGCGGGAAATTACAAGAAAATAAAAACTAAAAAAGAGAGAGAGAGACGAGCATCGTGTAAAGTTTCCATCGTCCGTGTAATGATCCGCGACAGGGATGATTATGTTCTTGACATGCAGTTCGCGTGAAAAAAGAGAAAAAAAGATAAATAAACGCACTTTGCGCGTGTTCACGGGTACGGATTTACGCGCTTATATACCACCTTTCTTCTTCGGGCTCATTTTTCCCCCCACATAACGATGGGGGACCCCGGTCTTTTCCACCCTCTGTAGTCTCGGGTGACTAACACGGGAGGATGATGGTGCCTTTAGCGGCGATTGCCTCATGAGGAGAAAAATAACGCTTGTGTACGCGTGTGTTTATTTGTGTGCGAAATAATGCGTGGGCGACCCCTGGCAAAAAATGCACTTGTACCTCCATATTCGAAATCGTGTGCGGCTTCTCGGAAATTCGTTGCCTCGATATAAAACGCGATTTTTTTTTTCGTGGGATAATAATAGAGTCGAAAAAACTACGCAATGTCACGCGATCCGTCCGGGGAATTTTTATATCCGCTATTTTCGACAAATTACTGTGAAACGCGATGTGCATGTAAATTTTTTTTGCCCGAAAAAAATCTACCCCCTTGCTCGAAAATATTTGTAACATCTTCGGGATTTCAAATATATTATGTATATTCAATATATTATAATATATAATATATTATATATATATATATTTCAATTATATATATTACAATATATATTATTTATTATAATATATTATATATTGTAATAATATAATATATTATATAATATATTATAATATATTATATATTGTAATAATATATTATATAATATATAATATATTATATATTATAATATAATATAACCCAGGTGGAAATTTTGTCTAAAAATAATCAGGGCTCCATATATTTTTTTAAAAATATTTCTAAAAATCAGGTAAAAAATCTAACTAGAACCTGTGTGAAGTTTGGGACGCCAGAATAGTACAGACCCTATCGCAGAATCCGGGTGGGTTACGCCCAGAATTTGTAGAAAAATTATTTGGAGTCTAACTAGAACCTATAATTTTTGTAAATATTTGTTTGATTTATATTATAATTATTTCTATAAGCTAAATTATTCGATCCTGGCCCCATATATAGTTTCATATTTATTCTAATTTGAGAAAAATATGTCAGTGGCAATCTAGAACTCATGCAGATTTTTCCGATTATCTTATTCCTCAGTAAAATAAAGGTACATTTCTAGGATGTATTCTGGACTTAGACAGATATTTCAAACTGGATTTTTTTATCTAGGCCCTGTATTTAATCTCGGCAAATCGAGGCAGATTCCTATCTTGGGAACATATTATATAATATATTATATTATAATATATTATATTATAATATATTATATACCCATACAGCACAGATTATTGCAAATATATTGCAGCAACGTTGCAATGTTGCAAGTTGCAATGCAACATTATAAAGACATTGCAGAGATATAAGTGCACAAAATTCCAGCACACTTGTAGCAACATGACATTAATATTTCGGAAATATTGCATGTAATCCAAATTCTATAATTATATATTGTAATATATATGAATTAACTACAACGTATTTTCATTAATGATTTATTTACATTTATATACCTGTATATGCAACATTAGTTTATGGTTGCAATAACAATACATTATTGCAAACTCATAACATATTGCAATATTGTTGTAATATTTTGTTGCAATCTTCCAAAAAGCGGACATTTTAACATTACTGCAATTCAACAGCAATGATGTAGCAACATTTTGAGTGAATTTGCAATATTGCAATATTGCGGTGAAAGATTGTTGTAATGTTTTTGCAATCTTTCGGTGCTGTATGGGTATATTTCATATATTAAATATATTATATATATTATATATATTTGATCAAGAATTTGATTATTTATTATATATATATATATATATATATATATATATATATATATATATTATTCAAATATATAATTTTTTCCCCGAAAATAATACGATACACGATTTTTTTGCATGCATTTATTACGAAAATATCTATGATTTAAGAAGCTTTGACTTGTAACGCGATTTAATTCTCCCTCGACAGTATTAATTTCCCTTCGCTCGAATATCGATATTAAGCCGCCAAACGCTATATGTATATATACATATTAAATGTCTATACGCTTTACTTAAGACAGAGATGGTATCGGAGCGTGACAGCTGATCAATGATGCAATCAATGATGCAATTGGAAATGTGGTGATCGCTATATATATCTGCTCGCTTTAAAAGTAATGCAAAAGAATCACTTAATGATGATTTATGCATCGTGTAATTCAAAAGCCTCGCGGCAAACAGTCTCGATCTGTATTCCCGCGTGTGCTCTCATCTCCGTTCGGCTCCATTCGAAGTTAATATTGACCATACTCCAGTAGAGACTCTGGCGCCGCCAGTAGACATTCGATGCGTAATCTACGTAAATTCGATGAAGGGGATGCTCGCAAATATTTGTAACAACGTCTTCAAGATTCCAAATATATACGCGAGATATCCGTCAGATTCCCTCTTTCTTCAAATATATTATATATATTTAATATATGTATACATATATATATATATTATATTTTTATATATATATATTATATATCATTTAAATATATTAAATATATGTATATCATTTCACATCCATCTTGCACCCTCTTATAAATGTGTGTGTATGTATTAAATATATAATATATTTAATTTAAAATTATATATAGGGGAAATATATATTTTATGTATATAATATATAATAAAATATAAAATATATAAAATATAAAATATATAAAATATAAAATATAATATATAAAATACATATATATAACATATTATATAATTTAATATATTATATAATATATTATATATAATATACCATAAATGTATAAAAAAAGCAATATATCTTAAAATAAGGGCACTTAAAAGTCATCTAGATGTTCCGGTGTCTGAAGAAAAAAATATGAGACAGAGCCAAGCGCACTAAAGTGAAAAAAAGAAAAGGAAAGAGAAAAATGAGACGAAATGTATGGAAACGAGCGAGACGGGCGAGTGGGGTAAAAGGGAGAAGGAACAGGCGGAGAGACCGGAAAGTCAATATTGTGCGCGATGGGATACGTCAAAATTATTGCTGTATTAAAATTTATCGGATACCGGAGGTATATCTGCGTCTGGGTGAGCCTAACTTTGTATCGTTTATGGGTTTTCAATATTTCATGCAGCGCGAAAAAGCGCGAGGCTGAGATTGCGAGGATATTATATATATATATAATATATATATATATATATATATATATATATATATATTTTATATATGTAATATATACGGCGGATAATAAACCGCGAGATTCTTCTGTTCGCTCGAAATTCAAATTCATCGCGCGTTCGACCATCAAATAAAAATTCGAATTATCCTTGCTTGTAGACCAATTTTTTCTTATGCTCAAATATGGTTCATATATTTTTTTATATATACAAATCCAGTAATATTTAGTTATATTTTTTTTATATATAAAAATTCAGTAATTCTAAAAACAAACCCAAAATATTGCGAATAATTAATTTGTGCATAAATGTGAATGAAAAGATATAAAGTAGATATTAGATGAAGAAAATAAATATTGAAATCAAGCTGCTGCAGCAATAAATGCAACGAACAGAATGTCATTCGGACTATTGATTATAAACAACGCACACGAAAATAAATAAATAAATTCGTGAGGTTCGCGCGCATTTCTAGCCGCGTTTATTTTATGGGCAGACATTGTTAAATCGATAGATATTTTGTGTTTCCCCGAAATTCGCCCTTACAAATTTCACCATTTTATGTATGTATAAAATATTTTTACGAGAAAAAATCTCCCTTAAAAAATTGTCAAATGGTTAGAGCGCAAAAACGCTAATGTTAAATTTAAAAAAAAATACAAAGCAAAAAAGTGCTTGAAAAAAAAAAAGCAAAATCGAGAGAAAATCTTACCTGAATTCTCTGCACATATTTTTTCAGCGATGAATAAATAACCTCGGCGAACCTCCTTCAGGGTCGCTGCTTCCAACGTTTGCGCGAAATTAGGAACTCACTGGAATCGACGTAAATTCGACGTGAACCTGACAAGCGCACCACGACGACTGAACTCCCCGCTGACTTCAGGAGGTAGTGACTGGCCTGAGGCCTGAAGTTGGGCACGAAGCGCGTCGGCGAACGCCGAAGGTGGCCGAAGTCCCATTTGAAAAGCCGATTGTATCGCGATCTCGCGAGTCTTTTATTTGGAAACTTTACCATATTCAAACTCTGGAGAGAAGAGAGGATGCGACAGTCCTTTTATTACACAGCTAATAAAATATGCATGTCAGGTCCTTCTTCCTCTTTCTTTCTCTCTTTCGCTTTCCTTCGCGAGAGACAAGTTTTTATGCCGCAAACAATGTTAGACACGTATAAAATATATTTGGGAACTTCAAGTTTCTTTATTTCAAATTTAATATATCTAAATAATTGATTAAAATACTATTTTTATATTAGACATGTATAAAATATATTTGGAAACTTCGAGTTTCTTACTTCAAATTTAATATATCTAAATAATTAATTAAAATACTTGATATTTTTATAACTTACAATTTTTACTCTTCCTCTTTCTCTTGCCCTCTTTGTAAACTTAATTAAAATGTGGAGCCTTCGCATTGCAATTAAGTTAAATTAAATTATTTATAATGCGCTCTAAAAAAATATCAAATAAATCTAAAAAAGAGTAAGATGCATTCTCCAAATTTAAAAATAAATAATATCAAAAAATTATTAAATTTTGAAAGATAAATTTTAAATATTTTTTTATATCATATTTGGTAATATCTATAGAAAAAAAACGACTTAATTAAAAACCAAGCGCCAATTATTCTTTCTTGTCAAATATTATTATTCCAAATATTATTATTTAATATTATTCAATATTATATACTATTGTTTCTCATAATAAATGGTCCCAATTTCGAAGCATTATAAAGAACTGTCAAATTAGCAGATAAAATAAAGATAAAATCTAATAAAACGTGGATTAATAGACAATTTGCATACAAATAACGTATAATTTACGAAATATAAATTAAAATTCACATATAAATGATACATAAAATTAGATTAAATCATGCATGCGTAAATTAGAGTCCATAATCCACTTTATAAGATTTATTTCGATCTGTATTTGATTGATAGCTGCTAATATGATGATCCGAAATTGAAACTAAAACGTATAGACACAATAATATTTGACAAGAAAGAATAATTTGCGCACCGTTTTGGATCTTATAATTAATTAGTCGCGTTTCCCCTTTACTTGAATAGTCTATATATAAGAGCTTTCTACTTTAAAGATTTTGTCTCAAATATATGTATAAATATTAATCATAGAATATACATAAATAAACGATAGAATATATAAATAGTTATAATTGGAATACAGAAAGTGGGATAAGGTGAAGCAAACATTTTTAATATCTAAAAATAGATCAAAACAATTATAAAATATTCCAGTAAGATATGTGCGTTATATAAATTAATGTATCCATGCTATATATCTACAACATATATTATATATATATATATATATATATATAATTTTTTATTGTATAAATAAACTATACCCACCTTAAAAAATTATAAAATAAATCGTATATAACTTAATCAGCTGATTCTAAATATTTTCGAAAGTAACTATATGTTTTGTGCATTAATAAAATAAATTATTAAATAAAATAATCGATTCAAAAGCGTAATTAACAAACAAAATAATAACTACTAGTTTTCCGGATGAAAAATTTATTTCAATAAAAATTTTCGTAACGAGATGTTCATCAATTTTATATAATCAAAATCTTCAAATAATTTTCAACTTAAATTAAATAAATTATTTAGGCAATAAGTTTTGTCAAAATATTTAAGCAAAATAAAATGAAATCCCGCATAAAAATGTGTAGAAATCATCATAATAAAAGATCCACAAATTCTGATAACCTCTCTGTCTCGGCTTCCCATAATAAAAATAATAGGTGAGTAATAGATTATTGAATAAATTAAAATTATTAAGTTTTAAAAAGTGAAATTCTTGTGTAATAAAAGTAAAGTTTCTGTAATACTTATACAAAATAATTAAGGATGTACAAATTGTAAAGATATCATGTATATATTATTTTCAGAATCTTTGTTTAAAAATAAATGTTTAAAAAAATATTTCAAATTGCAAAATAATATTTTTAATATAGTATTTTTAGATTTAATATAAAAGTTTCTCTAATATAATTTAATACACATATTAATATAACGCACATATTTATAACAAAAATTATATTTTCCATTTTTAGTACAATGATAACATATCATAAATATTTTATTTGATTTTTATATTAACTATTTTTAATTTTATTTAGATATTTATTAGTCAAGTCAAATGAAAATTATGAATCAATATCCAAGCATCCACAATTTAACCCGAGAACGCTCAAAAATACAGCAGTACATTTTGGAGATTTTTATAATCTTCAAAGTAATAATAATGAAGGAAAAGAATATTGCAATAATTTCGTAGGAGAGGAAACAGCGTCGATTAAAAAAAGATGTAAATCGAATTTCACAAGGCAGATGGTGCACAAGTAAAGAAATCTTTCTCTACGAAAGTAAAAAAAAATAAGAATGAAAATTTTTCGCTAATTGTTCTGATAAAATTTTCGGACTAATTATTTCCCTCAGATTAGAGCGAGCAACTGATGTAAAGGATTACGCGCGACAAATATCGATCTTTTTGAAAGAGACCGTAGAGCCGCCCGATTTTAAATTAAATCCATTTCTGTCCGAAAATTCCATTTTTCATGGAAGTCGAAGATATTCGCGTTATCCATTCTGGTACAAAGAACCTCACAAGAGAAGCTTATCGTTAATATTCTCAAATCCAATTACTGAAATTAATGCATGATCCATAAGACTTGATTATTAATAAAAAATAACATTATGTACCATAATGAAAATAATGAAAAAAAAAAGCTCATTAGTCGCATGAAATAGGTATTAAAAAAAGATGCTGAATACATGTTTTTCTTATAGCGTCTATTAAAATGTAATTATTATTGTACCACGACGAAAATTAAATTATTACACGAACAAATAAATATTAAATACAATAAATTAATTTACTTATATAATGAATTATTTAAATACGCAATTTTAATTAATGAACAAAATAATAAAAATAAAGAATATAAAATCCCTCGTAATCTGAAAATTAAAAAGTGTCACTCGATTTGAAAAATTAACTCTAACGAATATATAAAATTCTTTACAAAATAATTAAAGATCGCGTACACTGAAAAAAAATTGTTAACTAAACCTTTGAACTAAATTACTATTTAAACATATATTAATATTTAAACCAAACATACGTTTTGTTAGATTTAATGTTTATTTCATTTAAATATGTTTATATGTTTAATTAACAAAATAATATTAAGTCGAAAGGTTTAATCAAGTTAACAAATTTGTTCAGTGTGTAATTTATGCAACTGTACGATTCTATCTTTAAAATAAAAAAGGATGAATCTTTATATTTATTTGTTTTTCGTCAAGAGATGTTTCGGATCGATCTCGAATTTCTTGTACGATTGCAAATAAATATTAATTCGAAATATGTTATAACATTCAAATCGTACAATGGATCTGTTGCATTCTTCTCGTAAGAAACATGGCAATTAACATTATAGCGGTATATAGATTGAGTATTGTTCAAGTTATATGCATAGTGGCGAGACAGGATTCATTTCAGTATTCGTTCCGGAGCGCTAATTAGGAGCCGCGATCATTAGTTCACATGATGTTATGCCGTAATTAACCACTAGCGTACTATTACGAGAGATTACCGCTGCTGGAATAATTAATTAAGTTCAAAAAAAGCAAAAGATACACGCGAAATCTGAGTTCCAAATGATGAGCAGACGGGAAATTCTTGATCTATTTCTAATGTTGAAATTGCACAAAATCTGCTGTAGAGAGCGTTGAAAGAAAGATGAAATATTTTTCCTGAAAAGAAATTAAAGTCCTAATAAACACGAGTCCGCAAATGAATCATTTCTGAGTTATTTGTAATATCTCAATAATATAATTTATTAGTTTAATTAAATTAATTATTGATTAAATTGTATTTAAATAATTTATTTATATAATTAATTTAATTTACCTACATTCACATGAATAGAATAATAAAAAAATTATAAAAATAAAGTATATAAAAAAATATAAATATCTCAAAAATAATTTATTTGTGGACCCAATATTTATTAAAACTATTCGATTTGTTTTTGGGGATACTAAAATCTCCTTAAAATATTTTACCCTTTTTTCAACACCCTGTATAATAATTGTACATGCAAAAAGCGAAAAAATCGACAAAAAAGATCGGACAAATAAATTAATAAAATCAGAAAAAATTATGCACTTTACGGTTGAATAACAAAGATTGATGTCCCTTTTTTCCAAAAGGCCGATACGGGTATTACTTTTCGCTTCGGTGGAAATCTGAGGGGACACACAATAGGGTGGCACTTATCGATTATTCCGTCCAACAGGATAAAGACGAATTATACGTATCTTTAACGATCGACAACGAAAACAAAGCATGAGAATGCCAGCGTCGCATAAATAGACAAATTTGTTTGATCGAAGCCGAATTTTATATCACAATATGCTAAAAGAAGTTAATTCCAATCAATTAAATTTCTAATTACAATTGTATATACTATATCAATTTTAGCAATTCACAATACGAACTTTTTAATATCCGTCAATAATTTATATATATTATTAATTTTTTTATTATTAATATATTTATTTTATATTTTCTTTTAAATTTTATTTCATTTTTTTATATAAATTTTGTTTTGTGTATAAAAATATTAAAACAAATTCAAAAATAAAATAGAAGCAATTAATAAATCAAAAATTAAATATTTTAAAAATATTACATATTTTATTATATCAAAATAAAAATATATAAATTATTGATTTTTTTGGATAATTTTATACTCATGCATACTTTTATGTTTATTACTTACTTTTGCGAAAAATGGCATGTGAAATTTCTTTTTTATCTGCAAATTTTACTTTTTAGTTTTTGAACAATTTATATAAAATCTGCTTGACTGTGTAAAAGAGAAAGAAAAAGAGTAAACAATACCTACTTTTATATATAAATAGATGTGTAAATAATATTTATATAAACTATGTCTAATATTGAATTTCATATCAGTTTATATTTAAATTTCACTTTGCTTGAATTGTCATTTGTTAATAACTTTTTCATTTTTGTCATAAAACTATTTTATGAATTTATGATGGGTAGTAGTGATTTTTATGGAATCATCCTGTATTATTTGTGCATCAAATCTTGGAAGTCAATTTATATATTAGAAGAAGTTGATGTAAATAAGTTGAACAGCATTTTGTTAAAATTAAAAATGAATTGAAAAAAAGAATAAATCGAAAATTAAACATGGCATTTCTTAATTTCTACTCAAATTTAAATTATTTCAAGTTTTAGTGCGCATCCTGTTTTTAAGATAAACTACTAAACATCTATATATATATATATACATAGATTTATTCTTTTTCTGTAGACTATACAGAATGGTCCATAATATGATTGCGCTTGTTTAAAATAAGTTAATGACTATGGAGACTATTGAACGATGAAATAACACATATGAATACATGAGAATATATAACGTATACCAGTTATAAATCCATTTAACTTCTGTAGATATTATTCAGTATTATGTGACATGCTAATTGCAATTTTGCTATAGGCTTCATTCATATACACATATTTATCTGCTGCTTTAATTCAAATTTAAATAACATTTGTACATCCTTAATGCTATATATATATGTTCACTTGCAATTCTAAATTATCCAGATTAATTGTCAATTCTAATATTGATTTCTTCAATTAATGATCAATATACATATTTATTTTGTTAAATAGAAATAATTTCTTTAAAGTTGACATCGAAATTCATAATAATGAGTCTATAATTGATATGCAAAACAGAATTTTCATGAATTCTCTAAAATTTAATTTAAGTATTTATATAATATGTATATGTTATAACAATATACAGGAGTTACATTCCTAATAGCACAACATATTTGCAAGTGAACTCAAATCTTAAAATGCCAAAATATGACTTTAATTGTTTGTATATAATATCCATGTAATTAAATAATATAAAAAATAATGCTTTAACTATACAGAATTTCATTATTAATTTATAAAATTTAATTAATTTATATTAATTTTTTATATAAATTGCTACTCTGTTTTAATGGTCTCTTAGTATATAAATAGTTAATAATAAAATATACAGAATATTGCAAAGTTATCACATTATTTTTTAAATACAAATTTTTAAAATGTAATTATAATTTACTAAATATCTAATATTTGAAAAAAGAAATTTATATTTGATCTTTTATACAAAATACGCGTTATGTAACTGCATTCAAAAACATCAGGATGTACAATGCCACTTAAATCAGTATTTATTTCAGTTATCTTATCTAACTTTTAATCAATGGATTATTGAAAATGAATTTTGAAGATGTTAAAATTGCACTGTCGATGATTATGAAGAATATTTCTTATACTATTGTGAATCAGATTGAAATTGGAAGTACAGCACAATGATATATATTTTTTTCATACATTTCACTGTATATATTTTTAATACATTCCACTGTACTTCATGTAATAAAGATAATTCATTCTCATCTTTGGAACAAAGCGCAATTAGTTCCCATCAGATTGATATTTTCGAGGCCTTCCCTAGGTCTTTTTCCACGAATAATACATTTCCAAAGGTCGATTGACACGCCAGAATTTATCGTTCACTTGTCGTAAGGTCTGCGAGCCACTTAGTACCACAAGCTGCCCCAGCGAGGGAGCAATATAAATGCAAAAATTTAATAGCCTATCCGATTCCGATAATTCAGTATCCAGATCCAATGTCAAACGCATCGCCAAATATTTGCTTAAATGATCCACTGTAAAAATAAGCCTGTTAGTCTGCCTTAAAAAAATGTCTCTTCTTCGTTTTTATTTATAGAGTATATTTATGCCTTATGTCTTGACACATATATTTCTAATAGAAAATGAATTTTCTTTTTAGAATATATTTATGCCTTATGTCTTGACACATATATTTCTAATAGAAAATGAATTTTCTTTTTAATTGTATAATTTCGCAAAATATTTTATACATACCTGTGGCATTTGCTGTTGTTTTTATGTACCGAATACTATTTTCTTTCAAGGCTTTTATTAAAGAATTGTCCCCAGCCATCTCCGTAGGATGTGGCTTGAAAACAAGTTCAATTTCGTTGAGCATTAAAGGTTCACTAGGACCTTCGCCTTCTGTGTCCACCATGGAATCACCACCACCAGTCTCGGCTTCAGCACTAGAAGAGTCATTCTCCGAATTTTGAAAGCTTTTCTGTCTCTTCGGCACTTTCGGAATTTGATTTGCAGGGTTTGGCGACGGCGTGGTGGAGTTTCTAGATGTTGTCCCTAGACAAAAACATGTAAAAATAAGATGTAACAAAGGTAGCTTCACAAGTTTACAAATTGCGATCTCACCGGAGAATGTTGGACTAGTTGCGGGTTGAGAAATGCTGAGATTTTGAAGATTAGTCATACCTCCGCTATTCAAAGGTCCTGTCGCGCTTTGAGAAGAATCGCTCTGATTCGCTACATTTGTGGATGGATTTGGCGTTGTAGGTGCACTAATATTTGGCGTATTGTTGTATAACGTTGCATTACTCGCGTTTTCAGATTCGTTGGCATTCTTCCTCGAACGTTGAGGACGATTTTGACTTTGTAACTTTATACCTTCCGTAATAGAATTAACAAGCGCAGCTTGTGAATGTGATTTATTTAATTTGGCCAACACTCGTTCCTGATGGGCCTCATATTCATCTCTGCTCGGATAGATCTTCGAAATCAACAAATCAAAATTTGGATCTGGTCTGAGAGATCGTTTGGAGACCAATTTCTTCCTGCATGTTGGACATTCCTGCAAAGACAATAAAAATTGTTGTAAAAACTGCGTATAGAAAATATAGAAAAATGCGTTGTATTTTTATATAATATTTTAGCTTTTATTCTATAATAAAATATTATTTTTTGAATGAAATGTATATAACTCTGTAATATAATGTTATAACATTCTTGTAAAAAATTTTGATGCTCTGAAATAAATTAAAATAATATAAAATAAAAATAAAATTAAAATAAAATAAAATTTAAATTTAAAATAATATATAAATTAAAATGATATAGTTTTTACAAAATCATATAAGATATTAAATAGACTGACACATTCCATGTAGATATATATTTATGAAAACTACAGCTTTCTTATGAAAGATAGCCCTTGTTTAAGTATATTCTAAAGTTTACATCAAGGATATACCTTGTTAAATGCATTGTATTTTTATAATACAAGCTACTTTAATTTTCGCTCTATAATAAAATATTTTTTTGAATGAAATATACATTTGTCAAAAAAATTATCACAACATGCAATTAATATCAAAATTTTGCGTAAATTCAAATAAGCGTAAAATTATCGTATTTGAAAAAAATTTGTAAGGTACTTTTTTCAAAAAATTGCAACATTTAATGAACTCTATGGAGTGAAATAAATTTTTCCCGCAAATCTTATCTAAATTTTCGTAAAATATCGACTTTTTCCTACAAATTAAAAAAAAAGCAAAGTTCGTACGATTTTTTTTCGCAGAGTTACGTCATATCGAGTTATCTATGTATTTTTGTGTAATTACCGCCAACATTAACATTATCCGATGCGCACCAACAATGATTATGCGACAAATTGCTAATGAAGTTTTCCTTCAGAATCAGTAATCAAACAATTAGAAAACGTTTACGTGAACGTGGTTTAAGATCGCGAGTTCGATATTTTCCTCTCCTAATGTATGAGAAAAATGTATAATCCATACATTTGGAGAGAACATTTATCAACATCCATACATTTGGATAAGATTTGCGAGCAAAATTTATTTCACCCTGTAAAGTTCGTCAAATTTTGCAATTTTTTACGCGAAATTTTGATATTAATTGCGTATTGCGATAGTTGTTTTGACGAGTGTATATCTGTATAATATTATAACATTCTTGTAACAAATTTTGATGTTCTGAAATTAAAATAATATAATTTTGACAGAATCATATAAGATATTAAATGGGCTGATACATCACATTGCATATATTTATGAAAACTGCAGCTTTCTTATGTGAATGATATGCCTTATTTACATATTTTCTAAAGTTTACATCGAGGATATATGATACTTTAGCTTTCGCTCTACAATAGAATATTATTTTTTGAATAAAATATATGACTGCATAATATTATAACATTCTTACAACAAGTTTTGAAATTAAAATAATATAAATATAAATTTAACGTATAAGACGGGCAACAAGAGCCAAATCGCGGATGACAATGCGTTATCCTAACGAAACTAAATAATTTTTCGTTAGAAATAAATACCGGTGCACAAGGCACCAAATTTTTACTTGGACACGGCCAAGATTTTAAATATGAAATAATCTCATATTTTGAGATTTAATTTCAATACCCCTTTAACCCCCTTACGGAAAATAAATAAATGAATGCAAGAGAAAAATATAGATCCGAAAATCGCTGAATCGGGAATCGAACCCGAGACCTTTCGCTTGCCGGGCGACTGCTCTTCCAGCTGAGCTATTCAGATCCTTTCGATTCTATACTTTTCTCTGTTATATATATTAATGTTGGTAAACAAACGCATTTTTTAAGCCAGCGTGTATCAAATATAAGAGTTTTAACAAGGCTCTGTAATATAAATATAAATTTAACGTATAAGACGGGCAACAAGAGCCAAATCGCGGATGACAATGCGTTATCCTAACGAAACTAAATAATTTTTCGTTAGAAATAAATACCGGTGCACAAGGCACCAAATTTTTACTTGGACACGGCCAAGATTTTAAATATGAAATAATCTCATATTTTGAGATTTAATTTCAATACCCCTTTAACCCCCTTACGGAAAATAAATAAAATAATATAATTTTGACAAACACTCATATGAAATATTAAATGGACTGACACATCGCATTATATATATATTAAAAACTACAGCTTTCTAATAAAAGATAGGCCTTGTTTACATATTTTCTAAAGTTTACATCGAGGATATACTTTGTTAAATGCATTGTATTTTTGATACAAGCTACTTTAGCTGTTGCTCTGAATATAATATTATTCCTTTGAATAAAATATAAACTGTATAATATTCTAACATTCTTGTAACAAATTTTGATGTTCTAAAATCAAAATAATACAGTTTTTACAAAATTGTATAAAATATTAAATGGACTGGCACATCGCATTGCATATATTTATGAAAACTGCAGCTTTCTAATGAAAGATAGGCCTTGTTTACATATTTTCTAAAGTTCACATCAAGGATATACTTTGTTAAATGCATTATATTTTTGATACAAGCTACTTTAGCTGTCGCTCTGAATATAATATTATTCCTTTGAATAAAATATAAACTGTATAATATTCTAACATTCTTGTAACAAATTTTGATGTTCTAAAATCAAAATAATACAGTTTTTACAGAATTGTATAAAATATTAAATGGACTGGCACATCGCATTGCATATATTTATGAAAACTGCAGCTTTCTAATGAAAGATAGGCCTTGTTTTCTAAAGTTCACATCAAGGATATACTTTGTTAAATGCATTATATTTTTGCTACAAGCTACTTTAGCTGTCGCTCTGAATATAATATTATTCCTTTGAATAAAATATAAACTGTATAATATTCTAACATTCTTGTAACAAATTGTATAAAATATTAAATGAACTGTCACATTGCATTGCATATATTTATGAAAACTGCAGCTTTCTAACGAAAGATGCACCTTGTTTACGTATTTGATAATGTTTACATCGAGGTTATACCTTGTTCCCGCTTCTCAAAGCTGTGATAATACAATCGGAGCAGAAGCGATGAAGACACTCCTTGGTGGTCATGGTTTTCTTTAACATATCCAAGCAAATAGGGCACATAAGCTCGCTGTGAAGGCTCCGAGGACTGACTGCGATTTCCGTGTTGTCGGTGATCGCGTCCTGTGGAGTGCGGTGCAATTCGTACAGTGACAATTCCCAGGTTTTGTTGAGGCCGACCTGTTCCGCGGATGCCATCTCGCCCAAAGTAGATCGGAGAATTCCAGAGCGTTCAATTCACCAAATTCTACCTTTAGAAAATCAAGGACAAGCTTCTCCGCCGCTTGTTTTTTGCTTTTGGACTCGAACTCTCGGAGCGAACCGTAGACTCTGGAAAACACATAGAGAGGTTTTCAGCGAGAAATTTGATCGCGTCGAACGAAACGTCAGAATTGGACCGACCAATCGGAAACGAGGATCTCCACGCCCCGATTGGTCGATCGAGGATTTCACTATATTTTAAAACACGATCTGAAGCGAGCTGTCAGCTGTCATCTGTCATCCGATGTACTACTTTCGAATTATTAATGTTTGCGCGTCATTTCCGGTTCTTCCGGGAAATATACGAATGTGAATTAATTAATATTAATATTATTAATACTTAATAATATTAATTATTGTTAATATTTATATTAATATTATTTATATATTATTAAGAATTATTATTAATATTAATAATAATAATAATATTAAATTAATATTAATTAGTAGCTTTAATTACATTGTTAATTACCGTATAAATTCCTCGCGCGCGCGACCTTGGTTCCCCGTGACGTCACCTCGAGCCGCCGAATATTGGCGCGTGACGTCATCAGCTGCGACGCGAGAGCCGCCGAAAATTCGCGCGCGCGAGTTCACGTGGTCGGATCGGCTGCGCTTTCGACGCGAAGTTTTCCGAGTTTTTTGACGTTATCGATAATATTCCGTACTTCCGGGTCGTCGTGTTCGAGTATCATTTCGCGAGTGTATATATATATATATATATATATATTTGGTGTTCCGAAAACGCAGATGTGGTTATATTTCTCACATATTTATTGGCGTGAAAGCTCAGCTTAAAGGAGATCCTTCACGATTATCTTTTATCGACACAGTCGTATATTTTCGTACTTTTAGGATTTCTCTGCATTAATTTGTCGGAATATAAAATTTGCTGAGGGGTCTCTTTAAAGGTAAAGAAATTTTATTATGTTTATTTTATTAATATTTTTCACAGTTAAAATTATATATAATAATTTTAGAGAATTTTCTTAGAATAATTATAAATAATTTTTATAATATAAATTTAATTTAAAGCTTTTAGATAATTCTAAAATATTAATTCAGTATCTGCTAAATGAGTTCAGTTGTTCATTAAAAACCCGATTATTAAATATATAGTAATATAGTGATTTATTCCCGAGCAAAATGTATAACCGTAATATAAATAATATAACGGTATGTAATTCCATGTAAGATGGGCGTAGGCTTGACCATTACTGTGCACTATAGATGCATCTTCTCTCCGAGAACGACTGGAAATCTATTTGCGAGAAGATCTAACGCGGCAAACTAGACCGACAAAACCTTCGTCTTTTTCCATTGACCCTAACTGTAAGAGACTGTAATTGCAGCTGTCCATACATGTGCAAGGGAAATAGCTTTCATTACTTATTTTTGTTTCTTTCTTTTTTTTACCATGAAACTCATTTTTGTGAGTTGCTCATTTTTATTAGCAAAACTTCTTTAGTGAGAAATGAGAATTTTATTTTAATAGAAATTATAAAGATAATTTAATTAATAATTAATTATTATAATAAATAATAATTATTAAGTAATTATTTATACAAAAATTTATAGCAATAATTTTGATGAATATTATCTTAACAATATTTCTGATAAAATCTGCATTATTTTTGGAAATAACATTATCGAAATTTGTGTTAACTATATAATATTTAATACAAACAATCAATAATGAGAAATAAGAATTTTATTTTAATGAACAATAGAAATTATAAAGATAATTTAATTAATAATTAGTTATTATAATAAATAATAATTATTAAGTAGTTATTTATACAAAAATTTATAGCAATAATTATGATGAATATTATCCCAACAATATTTCTGATAAAATCTGCATTATTTTTAGAAGTAACATTATCGAAATCTGTGCTCTCTAATTATATAATATTTATTAATACAAACAATTACTTAGAGAATTGAAAAATTTCAGCAACGAAATATATAAAAGCCTTCAAATTTTACAAACATATATATATATATATATATATATATATATATATATAATAAATCTCAATTTTCTTTGAAATAGAAATCAAAATATTTTTCTGATCAATAAAAAATGATGAAAATTTTTTAGGTAATTATGCTATTGTCATAAAAAATACCTATTAAATATCGATTCATTGCACGTTCTTTTTCACAAATATATTTATTTAATATTAAATAATAATTTTAAATTAATTTAAACTATAATTTTTGCAATGTTATACTAAGTAGAAAAAAAGGCGCGAGTCAGTCATTCGGAATTTTTATCTTACAAAGTATGTAGAACAATCTGTATCTATAGGTCACCCTGTGTCCGATCGCAGGGCATTACCTTGTTCCACTTAATGACGATCTTGCTCCGACAACTTTTTCAGTCTGTCTAATTAATTCCTCACGGCAGAGTGCAGCATTCTCCTTCCGAATTCCGTGCGGTCATTCGATAACATTTATATTACATTTGTATGCGAGATTTTATGCACCTGTGTGTCTCTGTAACGTGACTTTTTATCGTCAAAATATTCGATAATTTTATTATACAAAATTTGCCATATGTATAAAAAATTAAGAGGCGCGAATTAATTTATATTACAAATCTATGAAAAATCATTTTAAAGAACATAATATATTAGTAATTTTCTAAAAAATTTACAATTTAGGGGTTTTTATTATTTTTCATAGATTTGTAATGTAAATTAATTCCTGGATTTTATTTCTTTTACTAAAATATTATTTTATATATATTTGCAAGCTTTTCATAATATTAGTAATTTTCTGAAAAGGCGTTTATAATTTATAGTTTTCTTCTTATAAAAAAGCTGAATTTACAAAGAGTTTGCGATATATATAATATTCGCAATATAGTAATTAATAAATGTAAACCAGAGAGTATATATAAATATATTCATATTTTATTTATACTCATTGATTATTATTATTTTAATTTGCAAGAAAAAACTGGATTATAAAGGCTAAGTTTTTTTTAGGAATAATTAATAATTAATTTTTTAGGAATAAAATAATTAATTTAGGAAAATTAATATTATAAAAAGTTTGTACATACACATATATTCTATATAATATAAAACTTATAAAACGTAACTTGGGTCACAGAGAGAGGCTATAACTTTCGCTTGATAATATAGTATAACACTATATTATATTGCTCTGATATGATCAAGTGATTTAAACAGTATACTTACAATCAGTAATAATATTTAAATATCCGTGCATCATTATTTAAAAAAGTTGCAAGTTAGGATCAAGAAATTATCTTCTTTTATAATATTTTTTTTCCATTTCTCAATTTACAAATTCATAAAATTCAACACAAAAAATTTTAATTAATTATATTATTCGTAAGAAATTAAAATAAAATTTTAATAAAAATTAAAGTAAATTAATAAATAATATTTTAAATAATATTTTAAAAAATTATTCTTTTATAATATTTTTTTCCATTTTTTAATTTACAAATTTACAAAATTCAGCACCAAAAATTTTAATTATAATTGTATTATTTATAAAAAATTAAAATTTTAATAAAAATTAAATTAAATTAATAAATTAAAATAATATTTTAAAAAATTAAAATAAATAATATTTTATTTAATATCATATATGTTTAATCAGCTGTATGCTATAGAATATCCAATATTTCGTTAATCTAGTTTCTTAAGTAAAAACAACGTAAATATTAATTAATACAAAAAATTAAAATAAAATATTAATAAAAATAAAATTAATAAATAATATTTTAAATAATACTAAAAAAAAATTAAAATAAATATTAAATAAAATAAATAATATTTTATTTAATATCATATATGTTTAATGAGCTGTCGAATATCCAATATTTCATTAATCTATAGTTTCTTAAGTAAAAACAACGTAAATATTAATACAACAAGAAGCTAGATTATCGCCATGATATGTTTGCCGATACATATGCTTTTCTCGCGGAAGAAAGAATCTCTTATGTAATAAACGCAACCGCAATCTCATTCTGGGCTGTCCAGAGCGTTATCACGATACAAAACCGCGCTCGCACGGATATTATAAGCATATTATGCGCGTTTTATGTTTCCTTTGGATCATTCTTTTTTCTCATAGAATTACAGATTCCATTTTGCGCAAGATCATATACAGACATGAGGCATGCTATCGTAATGTAGATATCATAATAAATGCATATATTATTCTTTTGTTATGCACGATGTGATTTCAAGGTAAAACGTTTCACATCTCTGTGCTTTCTATACCATGAGAATTGGCTCGAAGGTGACGACAGAGATAAATCATATAGACAGATTTTTATATATTTTGTCAGCGTTGCATACGTATGATTACATATTTGCCATTGTTTGCAAAATAAGTTCCTTAAGTAACAATGTAGATATGAAGTGATAAATCTTCATTACTTTCTCCGATATATATACGGTGGATTAAGAAAAATTATAGCATCTGTGCAATATCTTCGAAACCACAGAATTAGAGAAAACTTTCTTAACAATATTTATTATTAATTTCTAAAATTATTATATATTTATTTATCATTTTTTATAATTATTATTTTAAAATTATTATTTTATTAATTTATAATATTTTATTTATTTATAAAATTATTATATATTTATTTATTTATTATTATTTTATAATTATTTTATAATTATTAATTTATAATTTAAATATATAATATTTTATTTATTTATAAAATTATCATATATTTTTTTTAAAGAAAGACGATAAAAAAATGTGAATCAGCTGTTCATCACGAGATAACATCAAATTCCTCGTAATAATTCACTCGAGTGATTTCGTTTCTCTGCTATACGATTAGTTTTATTAGACATCTGTATAATTATCATGTCTCTCGTTTTACTTCTCGGTTCCTGACATTGCACAAGCATCCGGAAGCGGCGGAGCTTCTTGCCGCTTGATACATGGCTACACGTATCCGTTGAACTCGGGTCAAGCGTGAATTTGACCTACTGGTATTACCCGTGCGCGTTGTTCCTGTTCTCATCAGAGATCACTCGAAATTTTACTTTTC